GCAGCCCCTGAGCTGTTGGGATGCCCTGGTCCTTCCCTCTGTGGTGGCAGTGCCCCCTGGGTGGGTTGCCAGCAGCTAGGTGCTTGGTGCCCCAGCTTGGAGGCAGCACCCAGCCGGATTCAACTCTTCCCCAAGCCTGCTGGGGCTTCTAGCACTTTGTGCACTATGCCCGCCACCTGGGACCAGCTGGAAACAGGTTGGCTTACCCCTGAGGCAACACGGTGAGGCAGCAGAAGGGCAGCTGGGTGTGCTGGTGGCCAGAGAAGGCAGCAGGAATGGTGCATGGGGTGCTGGAAGCTCGCTGAGCCCGAGCTTCCCCAAGTCCGCCTGGGCTTCCAGCACCCTATGCACCATCCCTGCCGCCTTCTCAGGCCGCCAGCACACCCAGTGACCTCTCCCATGGCCAGGGAGTAAGCTGTCAGATTACAGGCTGCAATGTTACAAGTAGCAACATTGCAAACTAAACTACATGGGGATGTGGCTTAGTTTGCAATGTTGCAAACTCATCTGAAACCCCCAAACCTTATGGACCTGAATTGTGTGACACTATAAAGCCACAGAAAGGAAATGTTTGTCACATGTACATCGTGACAAAGTGCTTGCCCTCAGTTGCTGAACTCAAAATTTTAGCAGGACACTAAACACTGGCACATGTCAGAATACTCCAAGAACCTGTTTCCTGTCTTATGCACAGGATAGACTGTCAAACCTCACACCACCATCCTGGGGAGTTCTGGGGAAATGTAGTTCCTACTGCATTCACTGAGCTGGGTCCTGCAGCCTACTGGGTTTTCCAGGGCATGCTCTTGTTCATATACTGGCCCAGATCTGCCTTACTTGTGTGCATGGGCAGATCCAGGATTTTGAAAAAGGGTGACCAGCACTGCAGGCTGTAAGACCCCCCTCTTAGATTCCCCCCACCCCCCGCAGCCTGGACAGACCAAACATGTTGCAGGAGCAGCAGCTGGGACCTTTTCTTAAGTCTCTGAATCAAGTAAGAATCTCCGCCCCTCTCTTCCCTTCCCTTCCCCCCCTACTTACACCTCTGGGAGCTGGAAAGGGAGACTCACCCACTGCCACAGCTGCCCCACTTGTGACTGGCTAGGAAGTTGGGTTTGGCTGCCCACAGTGGCAGCCACAAATGGGATCCCCCTCCCTGTGCCTTCTCTGAGGCTGGCAGGGAACACTTGGGAGAACCAGGGCAAGGAGGAGGAAGGCTGGCAAATGTGGCACCACACCACGTCCCGATCTGCCCCTGCTTGTGAAATCTGACAGGATCAGAGCATGAAGAGACCACACCTTTTACAACTGGCATGATAACTAGAGGAGGGGAGAGAATAAATACATCAAAGCCAAAAAATTACCAAAGTGTGGGACCAGGAACTAAAATACAGTATATGCAGCAAGACTAGTGAACAAACACAGACTGCTGTTACTTGGATTAAGTTTCATAGGTGTGTAGTCATGCTCTAGACTTGTGGTTTCAAATGAGGGGCAAGAAAGGACTTGCCCAGCATTGCATGACAGGTCAGGGAAAGAACCCAAGTCTATTAAATCCCAGTCCAGTGCCCTGTTCACTGGACCTTAGACAATGAAAAACTCAGGTGACAGGCCTCCTGTAAAAAAAAAAAAAAAA